TATGATATTGGACAGCACAGGTCTAGCACACAGTAGATGCTCGTTGATTATTTTTTTTAAATATTTTATTTTTGGGGTGCCTGGGTGGCTCAGTTGGTTAAGCGACTGCCTTCGGCTCAGGTCATGATCCTGGAGTCCCGGGATCGAGTCCCACATCAGGCTCCTTGCTGAGCAGGGAGGCTGCTTCTCCCTCTGACCCTCCCCCTCTCATGTGCTCTCTCTCTCTCAAATAAATAAATAAATCTTTAAAAAATAAATAAATAAATATTTTATTTTTTAAAGTAATCTCTACACCCAATATGGGGCTCCAAATCATAACCCCAAGATCAAGAATCGTATGCTCTACCGACTGAGCCAGCCAAGTGCCCCACATTGAATATTTTTGAATAAACAGCAAAAAGGATGACAATCATGGACAGCCAATTAAGACACAAGGTAGAATGCTGTGGAGGTAAGCAACATAACCCTCATTTTCATTCACTCAGCCCTAACATTGCCAATACTTCCAACCCTGCCTTGTATAATCTTAATTCTTGGCTCTTTACTGCCTGAGCTGGTTATTCTCTCCTGAACCTGCCCAGTTTGATATTGTCCTTCCTGTGAAATGGGCTGGTCCTAAGAGCCTCCTGGAGACTAATCTCATGCGGTCCAGACCGGTCAGGCCCAAGCAGAGAGGACTCTCTCCTTGGGGGCCTGGACTTAATCACGTGGGAACCCTGCGGTCTAAGTTTCTCTGCACCGGCAGGCTGCCAAGCCCCTCTTAAAGGTGACAGTTGAGGCTGTTTCTGCTATAAAAAGTCACACAGAAAAGAAGCCTCAGCGTTGATAGTCTTGCTACTCCTTACAAGAAACTGTACAAGCCCTGGTCAGATCACTTCCAGCCCAGACACCGGAGACTTTGGTGGCCTCAGGGTCCGAGGAGGAAGGAGGCATGGGGACAGGGTGAGGTGGGATCAGCGATAGGCCAGGGCCTCCTGCCAGACAGGCAGAAGGGTTGGGTCTGTGGTGGAAGAGCAGGCCTGACAGAGAGCAAAGGCCAGGGAGGTCCAGGCCTTTCCGATAGACTTTCCCAAATATTCATTACAAAAAAGTTTAAAAAAAAGACAACCCAAACCAAATAGCATAAACAGACAAGTGAGAAGTCAGGGTACAGGGAAGAATGTACAGATAGTCCCAATTTTATAAAAATAAATATGTTCTGTGGGGGGACCGATTGGGTGGAGGCTAGTGGTGAAAGGGTTCACCCGGGGCAGAACAAAGGAGATAGAAGTTTTTTGAGTACGCTGCAGGAGGGTAGCGGGCGGGACAGCAAAGGAGAGACCATCTGCCAGGAGGCAGTGGTGGGGGGCTACAGTTACACGGGGCGTGAGGGGGTATGGGACCGTATGGAATTTTCCTGCTTTGGTACCTGGGCCCAGTTGTGAGTAGCCCATTGGTCAGCTAGGGCCTATGGGTCTTCTGAGGTGGGTCACTTAAGGAGCCTGTTTGCGTTCAGCTGGTGGTCCCTGTGGGCCCTTCTGCCTTACTTGGGTTTCCATTGCTCAAGCCTGCTGCCTAAAAGCTGCCTCGACGTGTTCCCACCTACGTCATACAGTAGGGGCTAACGGATCCTCTACCATGTGTGTGAGGATCTGTAAATATATTTGTAGCGCCTTTTTCAGAATGCAAATTGTGTATGGTTCCTTGGTGAGGGGGTGAGCAGAGCTCATGGCATAAAAAGAAATTTTGCCCTTGCTGGTTCCTCTGCTTGGTAACTCCTTCCCCAGATTTCTCACGGTCTGCGGGCTGTCTCTATCCAGTCGTAGTGCTCCTCCTCCCAGAGACCTATCTATATGCTTGAGTATTTTTCATACAGCTCTTCTCACTTACCAACATTATATGACATGTCTGTTTATTTTGTTTGCTCAAGAGAGTAGACTTTACTCTTTTTTATGGTTGTATTCTCAGTGTCTTAAATATGGCCCGGCACATAGGTAGATGGTCAATAAATCTATTGAATGACTAAAATGTAACAAAAGTGTCCATTCTTTTGGTGCCTGGGTGGTTCAGTCGTTAAGCGTCTCCCTTCGGCTCAGGTCATGATCCCAGGGTGCTGGGATCGAGCCCCGTGTCGGGCTTTCTGCTCAGCGGGAAGCCTGCTTCTCCCTCTCCCACTCCCCCTGTTTGTGTTCCTTCTTCTCGCTGTGTCTCTCTCCCTGTCAAATAAATAAATAAAATCTAAAAAAAAAAAAAAGTGTCCATTCTTCTCTGTCCCCAGCTCCAGGCGTTCTGCCTAAGCAAGCCCTGAAGTTCAAGTACAGCCCTCCCCACTCCCACCAAGGCTCCCCTGGTCACTTTAGAGCAGCGGCTTTCAAACTTCTTGACCCCGACTCTCAATAGGAAACACAATCCCCAATGCTCACACATACATGTTTTTGTAACGGAAATAAACCAAAAAAACCCTGTACTAGGAGCAATGTTTTCTATTCTTTCCTTTTTTTTTTTGTTTAATGCTGGTCTCCGCTCCTTGAATAGACTTCCCCAACTGCTAAAGGGTCACCATTGCCTTAGAGCAGTGTTTGTAGGAGTGGTCAGAGAGCTCATTTGTAGTCCAGCCTCAGGGCAACTGCTACAAATGCAGATTCCTGGCTACACCCCAGATTTAGTGAATGAGAATCTTATCAGAAAGTGTGAATGCTTAACAACCCCTCTCCCCCAACCGTCCTGAGTGATTCTGAGACCTGATAAGGCCTGAGAGCCATCACTTGGGAGTTTCCGAGTATCCAGAGGCCTCTGGTGGGGACTTGCGTCAGGCACATGCACATTGAAGGGAAGGGGCTGATTCTTCAGTTCCAGTCCAGCTCAGCATGAGTGGCAGAACAGATGATCCCCACTTTATTTATTTTTTTAAAGATTTTATTTATTTTTGAGAGAGAGAGAGCGCCCACGCAAGCAGGAATGGGGGGTGGGGGGGCAGAGGGAAGAGCAGACTCCCCACTGAGCAGGGATCTCATTGCAGGACTGGATCCCAGGACTCTGGGATCATGAACTGAGCCGAAGGCAGATGCTTAACCCACCCACTGAGCCACCCAGGCGCCCGGTGATCCCCACTTTATAAAAGCAAATCCGTTGCCACCTAAGCCCCTAGCAACTCCTAGTCCTCTGCCCAGAAGTACTTCTGGTGATTTTGCTACCGCTTCCCTGCCTCCAGCCGTCCGAAGGCCACTGACTGCTCCGCTGCTCCAGGGCCACACCCAGTGAAGGGGCCCCACTTTCCCCAAGGACCTTAACTCTTACTTCCTCCCCCTGCCCTCCACAGTCTCTTTTCCTTCACACAAAATCACTTCTGTTTTCTTTCTTATCAGAAGGTTTAAGAGCCCTCCCCACCCCCAGCCCTTAGAACAAAAAAATTCTAACCACAATCTCTAGTTATGGTGGCCCATTTCCAGCCCCACCCCCAGAAGAGGGTAAATGCCATTATGAAGCCTTCACCCTCCCACTAGAAACAACTTTTGATGCCAGGAACGCTGCACTCCCCTCGCCAAAGAACCTTACCTTCCACAGTTTACATTCTGAAACCCTGCTACAAGTGTATTTACAGAGCCTCACACATCCAATAAAACATTTTTTAGCCCCTACTGTATACGATACACCCAAGCCTAGCACTTTCAGACAAGATCTCATTTAATTCTTGAAGCAGCCCTCAGAGGTAGATAGTATTCTTACCTCCATTTTAGACATGAGGAAACTGAGGCCCGGAGGGACTAAATGATCTGATCCAGGTCCCATAGTTTTAAGTGGCGGAGCTCTGGGGCTGTCAGCTGTCCTTGCCCTCAGGGGCTGAAGCTGAAGGGGCTGACAGAGGGGAAACTTTCTCTTCCCTTTGTGCAGTTGTCACTTAGAGGGACCTCGGGGTAGAGGTGCCTCAGCCCCTAAGTGCTGCAGGATGTAGTGATGCTTCTCTTTAGGGTTTGGCTTTCACAAGTGTCCAGTCTCGATGAATTCAGAATAACCCCTGACCCCCAAGGCCTGGCCCCTTCTCGCTTTGGCTGAGTTCTCTCCTCAGGCCTCTGCCAAGACCTCCTAAAATGGAGTTTGATGAATTCAGAATAACCCCTGACCCCCAAGGCCTGGCCCCTTCTCGCTTTGGCTGAGTTCTCTCCTCAGGCCTCTGCCAAGACCTCCTAAAATGGAGTTTGGGGGCTGGGGATGCCCGGGCTGGCTGGACTGGAGCCCCAGTAGAGGGTTTAGTCTGGACTTAGACTGATTTTGAGATCCTCAGAAAAAAAGCCCCAAGGCAGCTCCAGCACATATCAGCAGTGGCTTTTTCTGAGGATGGGTGTTTCATCCATGTGTTTATTTGCATATTCTCTTTTCTTCAATAAACATGCATTAGTTTTTTTCAATACTAGTTATAAAAAAAGTTTCAAATGAGGAAAATTTGGTTGTAAATACTCTGGGGAAATCAGCCTAATGCAGATGTCCCTCATTGGACCTTAATATGCAATTTAAAAAAGTATTAACCATATTAGCCACAAATCAAACTGCCTGAATTCCAGTCTCATTGCTACCAGTTAGTAACTGTGACTCTTTGCAAGTTACTTAACCTGCATCAAAACGGGGACCATAGTAGTACTTTCCTTGTACTATTAACAGATGCTTTGCAATTGCAGCCGCTGTCTGTGCTCCGGGGCTCCTGTTTGATCACTTAAGCCTCAGCACAAGTCTTTGGGGCAGGTACCGACACTATCCCTATTTTATAGCTGAGGCCACTGAGGGTGCTCTGCCTGTGAACAGATAAATGAGATTTGAGCCCAGGCAGCCTAACGCCAGAACCTACCTTCAAGCTACTTGTCTGGAGCTGCCCCTCAGAAAGGGCTGTTGTGGTACATGATAAAACGCTTTAAGGTGCTTAGCAAAAGTCTGGCACTTAATAAGTGCTCAGTTAAGTTTCCTACGGTCACATCAATATTCGGTGTTTTACGTTTGTCATAAAACTAACACGCATACAAGGCGACTTAATGCAGCAGAAAATCACAGAGCCGGCTGAAGCCGGCGGACCCTGCGCGGGGGTCGGGGCGGCGACGCGGACGCGAGCGCGGCGAGGGCAGGCGGGCAGCAAGGGGGGTGGCCGACGCGCGGGGCCGCCTGTCGGGGCCCGGGGGCGGGGTCGGGGAGGCTCCGCCCAGCAGTCACCTGCGACAGGTGGAGCGCGCGGCGCCCGGCGCTCGGCCATGTCTGTGGAGAGCGCAGGGCCCGGGTCGGGGCCGCTGTGCCCGGAGCACGGCCAGGCTCTGAGCTGGTTCTGCTGCTCCGAGCGACGGCCCGTGTGCGCCGCCTGCGCGGGGCTGGGCGGCCGCTGCCGGGGGCACCGCATCCGCCGGGCGGAGGAGCGCGCGGAAGAGCTGCGGGTGAGCGGCCGGGGGCGCCGGAAGGCGGGGGGCGGGTGGGCTCCGGAGGGAGGGGACACCGGGGTGGCGTGCCGAGAGGGACCCGGCGGGGACCTGGCAGCCGGTCCAGGAGCCCAGGCTCGGCGGGGCCACTGGCTGTGGAGCTAGGCGGTTAAGGGTGTGGCCTCTGGAGTCGTGGGGACTTGAGTTCGAATCCCGCCTCCTCCCCACCCTCCCTCGCAGTCTCGTCTCCGGGCCGCAGCGCCCTCATCTGTAGTTTGAGGGCAATAATAGCGCGTGTTTATTGGGGGTGTTGTGCGAGAGACATAAGATAATGGGTGAAATGCTCTTTAGTCTACCACATAGTGGCGGCTCGAGCTGCCCACTCTTCCTTCGTTGCTTTGTTGCGGGGTGGGGGGGCGGTGAGAGCCGGGCCTGGCCTTGGGCAATATGTGGCAACACTGCTCCAGTTGCCCCGGACTCCGTGTGTCCCACGTCCCGCCCCATGGAAGCTGACCTGAGATAAAAGCTGGCCCTCCTCCCTCCTCAACCCCTGGGCTCAAAGCCCCTCCCCTCGTCCACCCTTCGGGCTTCCTGGTGGGGTGATTTCTTTTCCCTTTGGGGTTGGCCTTGACTGTACTCCAAACTGGTTCCACCTGGGTAAACGGAGGGGGCGGGTAGGATCTCAAGAGGTTCCTGCTGGATCTCTTCACCTAGAGTTCCTCCCCATCTCCACTCCAGTGTAGCTCCGCGCTGGTCACCTTCATCACCACCCACCCCTGGTCGGAGACTGGGGAGTCGAAGTTACCCTGGGTTTTCCTCCCTCCTTCCACCCTAGTTGTGGTCCCAGGGGATTTCCTTGCAATTTGATTAAGCCTCTTGATTTCCCCAACCTCACCGAGTGCTCTGCCCACCTGTGAGGCTTGAGGGCTCTCGCTGGGGACTCAGACTGCAGGGGAATAAACAAACGTGACCGGCCTGGAGGGATTCACTTACTCAGTGACACCTGAAAGCTCCTGGTTGGCCCTACCTGTCACCACTATCCATCATCAATAGTGGCGATGAAAATAAACTTGGATAATGTGGTGTAATAAACTTTCATAATGGGTGGCAACTTTGTGAGCGCCAAAGCACTTCAATATCCATCATCTCACTCCATCCAGACCAAACTTTTGAAGTGATAGCCAACTTCCATTTTACAGATGAGCAAACTGAGGCCCCAAACAGGGCGGTAACTCCTCCAAGGTTTCTAATATTCAGGAGTTGGACCAAGGGAGTCATTGACTTGCTCAGAGAAAAGAGAAAAGAGAAAACCACCTCTTAGCCTCAGTGGAGAGAGGAAGTGGTGCTAATGGGTTGAGAATTAAATAAAAACCTTAAAAAAAAAAAAAAAGTTGCCATCAGAGCTGAATCTGAGTGGTGGAAGGAGTATGAAGGCTGGGGCAGGGTGGCAGGCGGGGTACTTGATTTGGAATGCCAGTCTGCCCAGGGGGCGCCTTCCCTGAACCCTACTGATGCCCTAAACACGTTCATCTCCTTTGCCTGGAGGGAGGGGTTTCTTGCCTTCTCCCTCCAATTTTGAGTATATTATGGCATTTACACACCCCTTCCGCTATCCCTCTAGCCAGCAAAGAAATTTTGGCCCAGGGCAAGATGGTTACCATTCAACAACCTCTCTCTTATCTTCTGGGTTCTTGTCCTGTAGCTTTTTGGAAGTTAGGCTTGGTATCCTTAGCCCTCTGGTGTGTGCTGATCACAGCTTTGTCCCAGCCAGCTCAGTTCTTTCACTTAGTATTTGGACCAGTGAAGCGTCAGACGAATTCCTGACTGTGGGGCGGGAAGGATTTGCAAGGGCTTCCTGGAAGAGCCCGAGTTGCCTTTTGGCAGATGGAACCAGGGCAGAGCTGAAGCAGTGGAGGAGCTGTTGGCTACGAAGGAGTCCAAGTACCTGGAGAAACGGAGTGGAAAAGCAGGGGCCTGGCAGGTCACTTCTCTGTGGGCTTTAGCTTCTTCATTTCTAAAAGTCTCCGCTGCTCTCCTGGGGGACGCTCATAGCTCTGGCCGATGTGAACCACTGAACCTCTTATGGTCACAGAAGTAGAGGTTCATTCATTCAACAAATATTTATCCAGGGCCTCAATGTGTAGGAGGAACTTTCTTCTAGGTAGTGGCCCATAGCAAACAAGTCAAAGTCATGGTGCTCATGTTCCAGTGGCGGGGGGAGAGATACAAAACAAGTAAACACACCCAGAATGTACAGGCAGAGGAGTGATAAATGCAAGTGAGAAAAATAAGCAAAGTAAGAGAATGGGCTGTGGGATGGTCGGGGAGGGCTTCTGAGGAGGTGACCCTGAATGGAGTGGGGCAGGGGACTTGTACGGCTGGACGCAGAGGAAGGAAGAGGTGCAAAGCCTCTGTTGTCAGGACGAGTTTGGTGAGTTTATGGGACAGAAAGAAGGCCAGAGTGGAGAGTGCTAGGAGGTGGCTTCGGAGCAATAGGCAGAGTCCCATCAGACAGTCCCTTGTTGGCTAAAGTGGGAAGCTTGATCTCACTGTGAGTGTGCTGGAAAGCCATTGGAGGATTTTGAGCAGGGACATGACCTGACCTAATCTCCTCACACAAGGTGGTCGTGGCTAACTGTGGGGGCGAATAGCAAGAGTGGAGGTGACCAGAAGTGGCCAGAGGAGAGAGAGAGACTTTGGAGTCAGGGCTGATAGGACTCACTGAGCGATTAGATACGTGCGGGGTTGGAGAGTAAACCCGGGGTTTGGGTTGGGGTAATGAGGTTGATGATTGCTGGTATTGTTTAATGAATGGGGCTAACTTAGGGAAGGGCAGTTTGAGAAGCCGTGTTCTTTCCACTCAGGTGCGGAGAGCCAGGGAGCTGGGTCAGAGAGAACGCTGAGAGCGTATGCAGGAAAGTGATTATGATGATGGGCCACCGAATTTAGGAGAAGGTGGGAACTGAGGCCACAAAGTGGGTGATAGACACCGAAAAGTGGTAAGACTAATGTATCAGCGGCTTCAACTGAGCCGAAGAATGGTTGGACTGGAGAATCTAGAGTTAGTAATCTGGAAGGATGGAAGTGGTGGGCCGGGTGTGGGCCCCTTGAAATGAAGATTTTGGAGGTGCTATAGTTTTCAGTAATAACAAGGTCTGGGATGCAAGTGGCTGAGGGGGGATATATCATGGGGATGGAGTGAATGGATCAACGTGGATCAAGGTGCCATAGGTGTCCTTTGTATTGCAGAACAAGATTGTGGACCAGTGTGAGAGGCTGCAGTTCCACAGTGCCAGCATCGCCAAGTATGTGGCTGAGGTCCTGCCAGGGAAGAGCCAGAGAGCAGTGGTAGGTCGTTCTCCTTCCTCTCTGCTCTGGACCCCTCCTAGGACAAGACTGCAGCCTTACGAGCATGGACCAGTCTCACAGACTCACTGTGCTCCTAGCAAAGCCGGATGCCCAGGAAGGGCATGCCCAGTTTCCCATCTCTCTGAGCTGTGATTTTACCATCTGGGCAGAGAGGACTTTTCCCAGTACCACACTGGGGCAAATACTGCTGGAAAATTACTTTCTTGGGGTAAAGGATCAGAAAGGGTAGCATTCTTCCACCATCTAAGTATTTCGTGGTCAGCCCCTGAATTATAAAATAACCTCTGGACTTTGACGTGGAGTGTTCTTTATGACAGTCTTATGCAGTAGGTGGCAGTAACATCCCTGTTTACAGACGGGGAAGTGGGTTGCCTAGAGGGTAATTGACTTGCTCAAGGTCCACAGCCTCCTGCCAGAGTCAGATCCAGGACCGGGATCTTCTGACTCCCAGGCCAGTGCTCCTTCGGCTACCTGCCACTGCTGATCCTTTAGCCAGTTGCCCCCATTGCCAATGCTACGTCCTCATTCTTAGGTATGCCCCTCATGGGTTAGGGCTATGAATTTCTTTCTGTACATCCCCTCCTTCCTTCACCAACATGGACAATGGAGCAGGCTTTGCATGGTCTTAGTCAAGGTTCTTTTGATTGTGTAGAACGAGACCCAGTTGAACTAGTTTGCGCAAAAACAGGGAATTTCCCAGCAGGATACAGAAGCCCCTCAGAACCTGAAGGGGACGAGAACCAGGAAAGAAGATGCTTCCAGGAGGCCAGGCAGCTATTCTGTGTCCAGTCCTGCCTCTCTTAGCATGATGGTTCCTCTGTCTCTCTCTCTCTTTTTCTTCATCCTTTTTATTTTCTCATCTTGACTGCACTGGCTAGGACCTCAGTACAGTGTTGAATAGAAGCAAGTGTAGCAGATGCTGACTTCAAGGAGTGTACTCACAGCATTTCACCATTTATGTGTGTATTTAACAAATCTGTTGAGTACCCATCACATGCCAAGCACCGTTGTTCTATGTGCTAGAGATTCCACAGTGAACAAAACATATGGAAATTCCTGTTTCCGTGAAACTTACATGGTTGGCCAGGCGGTGGGGAGTTGGGGGAAGGCCAGTAATTAAATACACACTATGTCATAAGGTCAAAGGTGCTATGGAGTTTTTTTTTTTTTTTAAAGATTTTATTTATTTATTTGAGAGAGAGAATGAGAGAGAGAGAGAGCATGAGAGGGGGTTGGGTCAGAGGGAGAAGCAGACTCCCTGCTGATCAGGGAGCCCGATGCGGGACTCGATCCCAGGACTCCAGGATCATGACCTGAGCGACCTGACAGTCGCTCAACCAACTGAGCCACCCAGGTGCCCGGTGCTATGGAGAAGTTTAACACAGGAAGGAGGACATTCCTTTGTGGAGAACGGGGGCGGTGGGGGGGTTGCAATTGCATATGCTGTGGTCAGGAATGACCTAATTAAGTATTGATATTTGCACAAAATTTATAGAAGGTGAGGAAATGGACCAGGTATATGGGGGAAGAGTTCTAGAAAGAGGGAATGGCAAGTGCAAAAGCCCTAAGGTAGGAGCAGTGAATGAGGTAGGAGTCAAACTGAGAGTGTTGTGTCCACATAAGAGGTTTCACGGTGGTGGGATGTCAAATGTCGCAGAGGTTAAGTAAGGTGAGAAATGAGAGTGGACCATTGGATTTAGTAACATGTTCGTCACTGGAGACTGTGATGGGACGGGGAGTGTTTTGTAGAGGGGTAAGGTAAAAGCCTGATCAGAGTGGGTTTCAGAGGACAGAAGAGTAATTTGGGAGAGTTGGCACAGCCAACCCTTGAGGACCTCTGCTGTAAGAAGGGAGCTGAGAAATGGGTTGATAGTGGAGGGGGATATGAGATCAAGAGGGTATTTTATTTTTAAGATGCAGAAATTAGGGCGCCTGGGTGGCTCAGTTGGTTAAGCGTCTGCCTTCGGCTCAGGTCGTGATTCCAGGGGCCTGGGATCGAGTCCCACATCGGGCTCCCTGCTCAGCGGGGAGCCTGCTTCTCCCTCTCCCACTCCCCCTGCTTGTGTTCCTGCTCTCACTCTCTCTCTCTGTCAAATAAATAAATAAAATCTTTAAAAAAAAAAAAAAAGCTTATACTTAAAAAAAAAAAAGATGCAGAAATTACTCTCTGTATGCTGGTAGGCATTATCTGGTAGAGAGGGGAAAATTAATGGTGGACAGAATGGATAACCAGGTATAGCAAGGAGCGTGGGGTATAGGCTAACAAATGGAAAGTTAGCTGTAGGTAAGAGCATGAGCTTTCATCCGCAGAAACAGGGAAGGCAGAGTGTAGGGGTGCAGGTGCAGGTAGATGGGCAGGTGATGGACAGAGCTTGTGTAATTCTCTTCTGATTGCTTCTGTTTTCCATCATTTATCACATTTGCCGTAGGTTTTTTTTTTTTAACTTTTTATTTATTTATTCATGAGAGAGAGAGAGAGAGGCAGAGGGAGAAGCAGCCTCCCAAGGAGCAGGGAGCCTGATGCGGGACTCGATCCCAGGACCCTGGGATCATGACCCAAGCCGAAGGCAGACGCTTAACCATCTGAGCCACCCAGGCACCCTGCCGTAGGTTCTTAATGATGCCATTTGTCAGTTTATAGATATGCTTTGTCCCCCATCAATCTGTTAACATGGTAATACATTAATAAGAGTTTCTAGGGGCACCTGGGTGGCTCAGTTGGTTAAGCATCTGCCTTCGGCTCAGGTCGTGATTCCAGGGGCCTGGGATCAAGTCCCATGTCGGGCTCCCTGCTTGGCGGGGAGCCTGCTTCTCCCTCTCCCTCTGCCTGCCGCACCCCCTGCTTGTGTTCTCTATCTCTCTGTGTGTCAAATAAATAAATAAAATCTAAAAAAAAAAGTTTCTAATGCTAAACCATCCTGAATTCCTGGGGAAAACCAAGTAAGCTTGATCATATGTATTTTTTTTTACTTTAAATTTTGAGATAATTGTAGATTCATGTTTGGTTGTAAGAAATAATCATAGAGCCATATCCCCTGTACCCTTCATCCAGTTTCCCCCAATGAGAACATGTTACCTAACTATATAGTACAGTATCATAGCCAGGACATTGACATCCATACAACCTACCTTATGCACATTTCACCAGTTTAACATGCGTTCATTTGTGTGTGTGTATTTAGTTCTGTGCAGCTTTATCACATGCGTAGATTCGTGTGACTTCTCCTACAACCAAGATACAGAGCAGTTCTATCATAAGGATCCCTTGTGCTACCCTTTTATCACCGAGCCCCCCCACTCCTCTCTTTCTCCTTGTATAATCGTTATACAAAATTTCTGAGGTTGGATTGCTAATCTTAGTTTGGGGTTTTGTGTGTGTGTGTTTAAGGATTTTTGTGTCTATACTCAGGAGTGAGATTAGCCTATGAATTTCATTTCTTGTATAGTCCTTATCAGATTTTGATATTGAGGTTCTATAAATCTTATTAAATGAATTGGGACCTCTGTTTTCACTGGAGGAATTTGTGTTAAGATTGGAATTATTTGTGCCTTGAATATTTGGGACACCCCCTGTAAAACTATCTGGGCTTGGTGTTATTTTTTGCAGGTGGATTTTAACTACTGATTCATTTCCCACCATGAGTAAAGGATTCTTTCTTTTTCTTTAATTTTAGTAAATTTTTTCTAGATAAATTATGTACTTTGTCTATTTTTAAATGTAATGCCATAAAGTTCTTAAATTATTTTTTTAGATATTTATTTATTTGAGAGTGAGAGTACAAGTCGGTGGGGGGGAGAGGTAGAGGGAGAGGGAGAAGCATGCTCCCCGCTGAGCAGGGAGCCTGACATGGGGCTCGATCCCAGGACCCTGAGATCATGACCCGAACCAAAGGCAGACGCTTAACCGACTGAGCCACCCAGGTGCCCCCTTTAACCGACTGAGCCACCCAGGTGCCCCCCCAAGTTGTTCTTAATCTTGATTAAAGTTGCCCCTGGTTTGTCTATTTTGTTAAAAGTCTTTTCAAAGAGCCAGCTTTTAGTATTTTGATCTCTCTTTTGGATCTTTTTTTTTTAAGTTTATTTATTTTTTTCTAGTGATCTCTATACCGTGGGGCTCGAACTCACAACACCGAGATCAAGAGTCACATGCTCTTCCGACTCAGCCGGCCAGGCGCCCCTCTTTTGTATCTTAAAAAAAACAAAACAAAACTCATTATTTCCTATCTTTTTTTTATGATTTTATTTATTTGTCAGAGAGAGAGACAGAGCACAAGCAGGGGGAGCAGCAGGCTCCCCACTGAGCTAGGAGCCCGATGTGGGACCTGAGCCAAAGGCAGACACTCAACTGACTGAGCCACCCAGGCGTCCCTTCCTCTTTTTTTTTTTTTTTTTAAGAAGCCAGGCATGGGAGGGCATATTGTATGATTCCTTTTTTTTTAAATTAATTAATTAATTTATTTATTTTGACAGAGAGACACAGCGAGAGAGGGGACACAAGCAGGGGGAGTGAGAGAGGGAGGGAGAAGCAGGCTTCCCGCGGGGCAGGGAGCCCGACGCGGTGCTCAATCCTAGGACGCCAGGTTCAGGACCTGAGCCGAAGGCAGACGCCCAACGACTGAGCCACTCAGGCGCCCCTCCTTTTTTTTTTTTTTTAAGATTTTATTTATTTATTTGAGAGAGAAAGAGAGCACAAGCAGGCGGAGGGGCAGAGGGAGAGGGAGAAGCAGACTCCCTGCCGAGCAGGGAGCCTGATGCGGGGCTCGATCCCAGGACCCTGGGATCATGATCTGAGCCGAAGGCAGACGCTTAACCGACGCTTAAGCGCCACCCAGGCGCCCCAGGTGTCCCTTCCTCTTATCTTTATCATTTTTTTCCTTTTAATTTTTTTTAGGGGGAGATATACACCATTGTTATTTAACTCCCTCAGCTGAACACAGTCTATTAATTTTAGTCTGTCTTCTTTCTCAAGGTCAGCATTTAAGCCATATATTTCCTTCTACGTATTGCTCTCACAATTTCTGATGCAATATTTTCATTCAGTTATAAGTATTTTTAAATGTCCACTATGATTTATTTTACTATGTGTTGTTAGAAATAGGTTTTTAAATCTCCATATCTCCAGATGTGTGGTTTTACTTTTAAAAATTATCATTGTTATTTTTTCCACTAATTTCTCACTTAACTTCATTGTAGTCTGCATATCAGTTGTTCGAAATTTGTTGAGACTTGCTCTGTGCCCTAAAACGCGGTCACTTTAGGTAAATGTTTCACATTCAAATCTTTTCTATACTTACTAATTTTTTATCTGCCATATTTACTGATTGTTGGCAAGGAGCATTTAGAGTTTCATATCATGCTGTGGATTTGTCTATTTTTCCATATAATTCTGTCTGTACTGGGCTCTTAAGTTTAGAGGAGTGTAAAATTCTAAAATAAATCACAAGCCGCATTCAGGGCAATAGAGTCTCTGCTCTCGATTACACCAGTTTTCAATTTCCTTTCTACGTACGCTTGGACTCCAGGGGATTTCCTTTACTTAGCTGCCAGAGAAGCTTGACTTTTAAAAGGATGCTTTGGGCTATTTTTTCAGCATTTCTGTGCTTTGTTTTAGGACAGTGTTTAGTTTATTCTGGCATATCTTTGGAAAGGGAAATTTTTTTTCTTTGCTACACTTTTCTGGGATTGAATCGAGAAATGTGTTGAAATTGATTACAGTCTTCTAGTGAGAGAGTATCTGCTGCATCTTGGGCCAGGGTCTGTTCTTGGTCCTGATCACATATATAGTACAAACATGGCTAAGGGCACCCACCCCTGTGGGCAAGACAGCAAGGTGGGATAGAACAATAGCTAATGGTGTTGAACACTTATGTGCTGGGCTCTGTTCTGTGCACTTTGTATGTACTAACTCATTTAATCTTCCACAATAACCTCATGTTGTAGGTACTATTATTATCCTCATTTAGCAGGTTAGAAAACTGAGGCATAGGGAAGATCAGTAATGTGCTCAACATCCTACAGAGAGTAAGTGAATCAGCTAAGGTTTAAATCTAGGCACTGTCTCTAAAACCTAACTTCCTGGGGCACCTGGGTGGCTCAGTCGGTTAAGCATCTGCCTTCGGCTCAGGTCATGATCTTAGGGTCCTGGGGTCGAGCCTGACGTCAGGCTCCCTGCTCAGTGGGGAGCCTGCTTGTCCCTCTCCTTCTGCCTCTCCCCCTGCTTGTGCTCTGTCTCTCTCTGACAAATAAATAAATAAAATCTTTAAAATAAAATAAAGCCTAACTTCCTAACTAGTGTGTTATGTTGGCTCAGGGGACACTGAAGTTGGAGTCAGAACTAACTCCTGGGTTCACTTAGGCCATTCACTCTCTTCCTCTCCCCTGGCAAACTGTGGGTCTCAGTTTCTTCTGTAAAGCAGGGGTCATTACCTATACAGAGCGGGTCTGCACAGGCAGGGCACAGAGAAAGCTGCTGGCTATCCCTGACGTTCTGGCATGAAGGAAACTGTTCTACTGTCCCTTGTCTGGCAAGAGTGCAGGTGTTTCATGCAGCCTTTTGGGAGGACTGATTGTCCGATGGCACTGGGGGAAAGGGAATCGTGTTGGACTGAGAGTCAAAAGAACTGGGTTCTAGTCCCAGGTCTGTCCCTGACTTGGCCTGTGAGTGCTACCAAGAGATTTTTGACTTAGTCAGAAGAAACTTTCTCCTCAGTCATTGAGTAAACTATTTGAGTACCTACTGTGTGCTAGACCCTGTGCTAATTACTAGGAGACACACATTAGCTTCACTGGAGTGGATGGCATGAATAAGAATTCTACCATGGAAGCCATTGGAATGGACAGATTTAGGAAAGAATGAGATTTTTTTCACTCAGACCTAGTCGGAATATCAACTGTTGGCACGGATCCTGTTGATGGGGATGACTTTGTAGGCTCTTTCACTCTACAATTCTGTAATTCTCTGACCTTGGTCCCTTGACCTTGGTATTCTCAACTATGAAATAATTGATTCTAGTTATCTCTAGACCACGCCCACTAACCCTAACCCAGCTCTTCCATTCTGTGATCCCGGCTCTATGAGATATGACCTGGATGTCTGAATCTTATATTTCTTTACCCTAAACCATATTGGGAACTCTTAAGGCTGGGATGGCTTAAGCACCTGTTTCTTCCATTACTGTGCCTGTGGCAGACATGGCTAATCAGTCCCAGGACTCCTTCCCACTGAGCCCAAATCCTCTTAATATTGACTGGGGCTTTGCTAGGACCCGATTCTCTGTGTTATCCCTCATCAGAGCACAGCCAGCGCGGCGCGGGAACTGGTCATCCAGAGGCTAGCTGTGGTGAGGAGTCTGTGTGAGAGTGAGGAGCAGCGTTTGTTGGAACAGGTGCATGGTGAAGAAGAGCGGGCCCACCAGAGCATCCTGACACAGCGAGTCCACTGGACTGAGGCGCTGCAGAAGCTCGACACCATCCGGACCAGCCTGGTGGGCATGCTCACCCATCTGGATGACCTCCAGCTGATTGTAAGTCAGGCAGGGGTGAGGACACAACCAGTGGACCAGACACCCCCAAGTCTAAAACTGCGAGAATATTTATTGGTAAGAGTTGGGTGGATAAGGATAATTTGGAACAGGGATTAGGCAAGGGAATAAAATTAAACGCATTTTTTTTTTTTTTTTTTTTTTTTGCACCTGCTAACCATTCTTTCAGTAGTGAGCAGACATTTACTGGTGTCTACCACATGCTGTTGTGCCACGGGGTGGAGTTACAGGATACAGCTTTTAGCGCCTCGTGGCCTTACGAAGGAGACGAATCCATAAACTGATGATGGAGGGTTATGTCTTCTGTAGAGGACATCACTGGGAGCTAGAGACCCCACGGTCCAGGCTTTCGGGTGGCAGTGGTCAGGGTAGGCTTCCTGGATGAAATAACTTCAAAGCTGGTGCCTGAAAGATAAAGAGGAACAGCTACGTTAAAGGTAGTGGAGAGCTAGAGAGAGGGTTCAGAAGTGTGCAGAGGGAGGGAATGGCCCCAGAAACTACCGTGGGTAATATTTATGTACATATCCCTGCAAAGTACTTTATATAGAGATGCAGATACTTGGAGTTTTAACAGGACAATCTGACATCTGAGTAAACATGCCAAGCAGAGAAATCTGAATGTGGAACAACCGAGCTGTTCTGCAGTTCAAGTAGGGCAGTTTCCATCGCTGTCCTAGATTGTGCATTGATTGAGTCACACAGTTTCCACGGACAGAGCACATTCTGTCCCAAATGCTGGGACGGTCACAAGAGAAGATTCAGAAAGAGTCCCAGCCATCCAGGAGCTGGCAGTCTTGGTGGGGGGTGAGGTGTTAGTAAATACGTCGTCCTGCAGTGTGGTTTAGGGAAACGCAGGATGCCACCAGGCACGGGAGACTGAGTCATTCTGAGTGCGCGGTGTGGAGGTGTGCGAAGAAGAACCCAGATAGCTTTGTTTTGGGTCTTAAAGCAGGAACAGAATGCTTTATTCTAGAGTCTGTCCGTGTGGCACCCTCCATACCTGTTGAATATATTCAGATCTTGACTACCTGCTGAGTTCCTGATACCAAGCCTCTGTTTTCTTTTCTCACAGCAGAAGGAGCAGGAGATTTTTGAAAGGTGAGTAGAGCCCCGTCAGTTGCCTGGGCAAATGGAGACCATTGCCTGCAGGCCTGTAACTAGTCCATTACATTCAGGTCCTGCTGCTCCAGGGCGAAAGCCCAAGGCATGCCGTGCCAGCGCGTGCCTGCCCTGGAGCCGTCCTCCCTGGACGGGGGTCTTCCTGCCTCTGACTTGGGAGAACTGCTTTAGATCCCTGTGCAAGGGTAGTGAAAGAAACACTTAGCAATCAGAGGCTTGCCAAGAGCTTTCTGAAATGTTATCCTGCTACAAAATAACCAGTCCCCCTATTGGAGTGTGTTATACCCCCATCTACAGATGAAAATACTGAGGCTCAGGGGCGCCTGGGTGGCTCAGTCGTTAGGCGTCTGCCTTCGGCTCAGGTCATGATCCCAGGGTTCTGGGATCGAGCCCCGCATCGGGCTCCCTGCTCAGCGGGAAGCCTGCTTCCTCTCCCCATTCCCCCTGCTTGTGTTCCTTCTCTCACTGTGTCTTTCTCTCTCTGTCAAATAAATAAATAAAAAATCTTAAAAAAAAAGAAAGAAAGAAAGAAAGAAAATACTGAGGCTCAGAGAGGGGCAGGGACTTGCCTATGCCCCAGAGCTGGGGCGTGGACCCACACCCAACACCTGTTCCATCACCGTCTTCTCTGCCTCAGTCCCCCTTTCTCTGACGAAGGAATCTCTGAAACCTAAGTCTGTGTTAACCACCACTCAAAATTTGCACTTTAATGAAGCAATAATAAAAGCCCTTCACCAGGCTCTCCCTGGGTTCTGAAAGACTAAGAGCCAAGAGCCTGAGGAAGTGGCCAAGAGGATGTAATTTGCCAGGCAAAGAAATTAAACTCTTACATCTTCTGTGAGAGATTTCAGAGCTGTATTTGGGGAGCACAGCCCATTCTTCTTAACTATTTTTATATTTAAATTTCAACAGTAATACGTGTGCATGAGAGAAAGAGAAAAGAATGCCATCAATATAAAACCATTGAAAATTTAAAATGTCTCGGGGCGCCTGGCTGGCTCATTCGGTAGAGCATGTGACTCTTGATCTCAGGATTGTGAGTTCAAGGCCCACATTGGGCATAGAGACTACTTAAAAAAAAATTTGTTTTTATGTCTCCATCACCCCTTCCCAATCCTATTCCCTGAGGTGATCAGCTTTAACAGTCAGATATGTATCTTGTGGATTTTCCAATGTAAATAGAGTCCTAGATAGTATGTCTGGGCTTGTTTACCTCTAAAAATATATATTTTTAACACAATTGGGATTGTTTTAATACTTGCTGTTCTGTAACTTGTTAGGCCCTCTTGGATCTCTCCATGTATAGATTTACCTCACTCTTCAGTAAGTCTGTGAAGACATCCCCCAGTATGGATGCCCCCAACTTTATTTTATGGTCTCCTTTAAATGCTTGGCTTGTTCCTACTTTTTCCCTCTTTTAATATTTCCACACTTCTGCTAGTCTTCTCTTTCTCCTTTACCTTCTTCATCTTCCTCTAAAACCATCCTGTCTTCAATTTCAAGCTGCTCTGATTTTTGGGAAAAAAAATTGATCTTTAAATTTTTTTTTTTGTTTTGAAATATTTCAAATGTGGAGAAAAGTTGCAAAAATAGTATAAGGAGCTTCACCTAGAAATCCTAATTGTTAGTATTTTGCCACATCTGCTCTCTTTCTTGGTCTCTTTGTCTCTTCCTTCCTACCTATTTAACAAGTGAATATATGGCACTTACTTTTTCTGACCTATTTGAGAGTAAGTTGCAGAAAGCGAGACCTTTTACATCTAAATGCTTCATCTTTCTCTCAAGAACAAAGACAATTTCTTACATAACTACAGTGTCACTATTAAGCTCAAGAAATTTAATGTTGATGTAACACAATATATTATCTAGTATACAGTCCATATTCAAATGTTGCCAGTTGTGCCCACAAAGTTCTCAACGGTGTTTGGTGTGTTTTTTGTTTCCTTTTTTTTTTTTTTTTAAAAAGACTTTATTCATGTATTTGAGAGATAGAGAGAGAGCATGAGACAGGTGAGGGTCAGAGGGAGAAGCACATTCCCCGCCGAGCAGGGAGGGATCCTGCTAGAATTCCTGATTTAATCTGGAATTTATTCCTTAGGCTTTTACTTTTTTTTTTAAAGATGTTTTTTTATTTATTCATGAAAGACAGAGAGAGAGAGAGAGAGAGAGGCAGAGGGAGAAGCAGCCTCCCAAGGAGCAGGGAGCCCAATGCGGGACTCGATCCCAGGACCCTGGGATCTCGACTTGAGCCGAAGGCAGACGCTCAACCATCTGAGCCACCCAGGCGCCCCTATTCCTTAGGCTTTTAAAACAATAACAACAAAATACTTAAAAAGAGAGAGAGAGAGATTTTATTTATTTATTTGTCAGAGAGAGAAAGCGAGCGTGAACAGCACAAGCAGGGCGAGCAGTGGGGCTCGATCCTAGGACCCTGGGATCATGACCTGAGCCAAAGGCAGACGCTTAACCAACTGAGCCACTCCGGCATCCCCATGGGTTTTCCCTTCTGAACCATGAGGTGCTGGACCAGCTAGTTGTCTAGGTTCTAGTGTCTCTGACTGTCCTCAGGTTTGCCTTGGGTTGGCTCAGCGCGGCCGACATGGGTTCCTCTCTCCTCCCCGCCTGATGGTTGCCCCCCCCGCCGGCCCCAGCTTCAGTGCTTTGGGAAGATGGCAACAGCCCCTCTCTTGTCCTGACCACAAAGAGCCTTTGTTACCAGAGCCTGCTCTTAGCTTTTCTAGGGCTCTGGTCACCTTGCTCTTCCCAAGCCAGGACAGTCAGTGACAGTCTTGCAAAGAGCTTGCACCCATGAGCTGTGCCCCGCTGTCCCTCCCTGCTCCTTCATTATGGGCAGAGCCAGAGAATTGGAGAAGAGAGTGTGCTCTCAGAACTGCTGCCTGATCTCAAAGCCATCCTCAGGGTCAGAAGCGGTGGGAAAGCTCTTTCTCAGAACCCAGTTCAGAGGCCTGCAAAGCTCCTTGGCGAATCCTTCCTTTGCCCTACACCCTGTTGATCATTTTCATTTTAGATCAAGGGGAAAATTATGTTGAACAGTGCCTGGACTCCAGACTGGGTTTGTTCTATTTTTGCAGGGAGGCCGGACTTGAACCCAGCTCCCCTCTTTAGCTGAGTGCTTTCTCTGAATCTCTGTTCTTTCCTGTCAAATGGGATAACAGCTATCTCCCAGGTTACAGCAAAGATTACATGAGATTCTGTAGAGGAAACTGGGTACTTAATAAATGGTAATTCTCCCCTCCTAGGCATCTTCCGTTCCCATATTCCCTCCAGCCAAACCCAGTGCCCCTGTGAGCTGAGGAGAGGTAGCTACTGGGAGCAAAGCACTGGAACTAATTTATGGTTGGGGTGATAACTGATAGTCCCTTCTTGTGGGATCCCTCAAGGGTATTTGCATTTTAAGAGCAGAGGAATGGCTGTACCTTCTTACTGAACCAATAGGTTTTGCTGCAGCAGGTTTTGGAAGGAGGCAGGATTTTCTCCACATAAGACAGGGGAGTGGAAAGACGGGTATGTAAGAGGCTTAGGTCCCATCCCTGTTCTGCTGCTAACTTAGAGACCCAGCAGGTTGTTTCTCCTACAAAGCAGATCAACTCCAAGTTCTAATACTGGTACCAAGTATTTACCTCCCTGGAAATTGTCCGCCTTGCTGGAATTAAGGCTCCTGGGGGGCACAAGGGGGAAAGCCCTGCTTCCCGTTTGGCTCAAGCCTTTTTAGGGGGCTCCTGTGTGGGGCCTGGCTGCCAATCTTGGTGTCACACTCGTGGGAAGAAGATTTTACTTCTGTCCCTTTCTCATCACTTTCTCATCACTCTATATTGATCCAGATCCATTTCCAGAACCTTCCTGAATTTGTCTTTTTTTTTCCCCCCTTCCACAAGGACCGAGGAAGCAGAGGGCATTTTGGATCCCCAGGAGTCGGACAAGTTAAACTTTAATGAGAAGTGCATTCGGAGCCCCCTACTTACCCAACTCTGGGTGACAGCGGTTCTCGGGTCCCTCTCAGGTTAGGAGCTGGTAGAACCCAGCACCAGTGGGAACAATTGGGTGGCTGGCTGGCTGGGGTGTGCCGCTGGGTCACACTGGGGAATAGAACATCTGGCACGGTAGCTAAAGCACACAGTAATGCTAGATGCAGGCTTGTCGGTGAAGCCAAGGTTCTGGACAGGCCTGGGGCGGCTGGGTCAGGTCCTTCCCGTTTCCAGACCAGTCTGCTCTGCTGGCTCTAAGAAAAATCTTGTTCATGTAAGTCACAGCTCTGTCCTGCCCAAGTGGGACAGCTTAGTATTATTTCTTGGAAACCGAGTTTCTCTTTAAGAAGATACAAGTGCTGGCCAACTGGAGAGCATCTGGAGCGAGAACTAAGCTGCCTGGATTCGCCTCACTCACTTAACCACTAACTCAGGCCGACTGTGGCCTGGCCTCGTGCTGCATGCTAAGGCCACAGAGGTGAACGTGACATGGTCTTCTCCTGCGGGAATTCCCACTTAGTGTGGGAGTTCTCCAAGCAGAATCTCCCAAGCTAGGTGGAAGCTTCTGTGCTCCTGGTTGTGGTGTTTGCACAATTCGCAAAGAGGTTAGGGTAATGGATTGAATTGTTCCTCAGTTGTTTTTTTTTTTAATTTTAGCTTTTTTTTTTAAAAGATTTTATTTATTTATTTATTCATGAGAGACAGAGAGAGAGAGAGAGAGAGAGGCAGAGGGAGAAGCAGGCTCCCAAGGAGCAGGGCGCCCGATGCGGGACTCGATCCCAGGATGCCAGGATCATGACCTGAGACGAAGGCAGACGCTTAACCATCTGAGCCACCCAGGCGCCCATTTTAGCTTTTTTTTTAAAGATTTTATTTATTTGCCAGAGAGAGAGAGAGGAAGAACACAAGCAGGGGGAGTGGCAGGAAGAGGGAGAAGCAGGCTCCCCCCAAGCAAGGAGCTCGATGTGGGACTCGATCCCAGGACCCTGAGATCATGACCTGAGCCGAAGGCAGACGCTCAACCATCTGAGCCACCCAGGCGCCCCGAATTGTTCCTCAGTTTTAACCCTCCTCCCTTGGGTGTTAGCCTTAAATGTTTAGTGCAAGCTCTAGCTTGTCTGCTCTGCATTCTCTTATCAGAGTGCGCCTGATTTGCCGGCCGTCCCATTCAGTGAGTTGTTGGAAAGTACGGAAAGTACGGATCTGGTCCTTCTTAGCTCCCGGGGGCCTTGCCCCTAGGACAGATCTGATCTGGAGGCCGCAGATAGGCCTCAACTGGAATGCACTGTGATCAGTGCAGGGTGCTAGATGTGGGAACAAAATGCTGGGTCTTCATTTTGCCCTGCCACCAACTAGGTGTGTGACTTTGGGCAACTTGCTTCTCCTTCCTGGGCCTTCTTTCTGGTTTACAGATGAGGGTCTTAGACTAATAATAACTATTGTTGTCATGGCCACAACTTATTGAGCACTTAATTAATGCTAGGCACTTTAGATATATCATCCCATTTGGTCCTCACGTCCACCCTGTGATAAGTCCGATTGATCCCCATTTTACCGATGAGGATGCTGGGGGCTCAGAGAGAGTAAAGGGCTTGTGTGACGTAATGCTGCCAGTGGGTGGTGCGGCAGCCCTTTGCTGCCTGACAGGACCGGGTCAGGGCTGACGGTGGGCCTTGGGCAACTCTGAGAATTCTCCCTGGCAGGCACGGAGGACGTGCGTATCGACGAGAGGACCGTCAGCCCCTTCCTGCAACTGTCAGATGATCGAAGGACCCTGACCTTCAATGCCAAGAAGTCCAAGGCCTGTGCAGATGCCCCCGAGCGCTTTGACCACTGGCCCAATGCCCTCGCGGCCACCTCCTTTCAGGCTGGGCTGCACACCTGGATGGTGAACGTCCAGAACAGTTGTGCCTATAAGGTGGGCGTGGCCCTGGGCCAGCTGCCCCGCAAGGGCTCAGGCAGTGACTCTCGTCTGGGCCACAACACCTTCTCCTGGGTCTTCTCCCGCTATGACCAGGAGTTTCGTTTCTCCCACAACGGGCAGCACGAGCCCCTGGGGCTGCTGCGCTGCCCCACCCAGCTGGGCGTGCTTCTAGACTTGCAGGCGCAGGAACTGCTCTTCTACGAGCCGGCCTCTGGCACGGTGCTCCACACCCACCACGTGCCCTTTTCCGGGCCCCTCTTCCCAGTCTTTGCGGTGGCCGACCAGACCATTTCCATCATCCGCTGACCCGCGACCACCAGGAGCCCTGGTCTACTCCCCACCACGCGTCCAGGCCATGTTCCTACCCAGTGTCTCCCCCGCTGCCCCAATGTTGCCTTTGCCCGATGGGCAGCTTTAGGAGGGTGGGGGATCCATTTCAGGTCTGGGTTCAGCCGTGACATGCTGGGTATCTGTAGGGAGCCTGCTACCCGCTGGGCCTTAGTCTCCCAAATCCACCAGGCATCTGCCCCTCCGAGGGTGTCTTGTTCGCCACGTCATGTCTGGCACCAAGCGTGGTGCCTGGTGCCTGGTGCCTACCGGTTGTGCAATAAATATTTGGCAAGCGAACGGGTGGATGGAAAGGTGCCTGGGTGTGTGTGGTAGACTCTTCTGGAGAAGCACTGCCTTCCAGCCCTCTGTTCCTGGCTTTGATTCAGAACTCCCGCGAGGCTGTTCTTGGCCAGAAGACTCTGGCCTGGGGGGCTGTGTCCCCCCACCAGGTCCAGCCTGGAGGCTCAGGAGACTGAGGGGATCCTGTCCGGAGGTAACCTGACTGCAACAGCCCCAAAACTCCCCCCCCCCGCCGCAGCTTGTGGCCCCCCTGACATAATGTGGAGACCCGGAGTGAGGGCTTTAAGCCCCAGAGAGCTGAGGGAGTAGGAAGGCCAGACGTAGGGAACACGTCTGTTATTAAAGGTTTTAAAAGATTGAAAAGTTTCTTCCATGTTCTTTGTGGGAAATTGGGCAAATCCCCCAAGTGCCAGCTCACATCTAAAGAGGTACGCCTGCTAGGAAAGAGAGATCTTCCTCACCCTCATCCGCACTCCCGGCTCAGCATACACAGCCACACGAGCCCCGAGACGGTTCTGGGCCCTGCATTGCTGGAACCCAGGGCAAGTCCCTTACCGTTCTCTGAGGTCACATTAGAACAGTGGTCCTCACATTCCTGTTTTATTTAGAAACACAGTTCAGAGGCAATCTTACCTACAACTTCAGGCCCCTGGGCTCAAAGATGAGGGCCAGAGCCCTCCCCACTCTTAAGCTTGCTCAATAATTTACTCCAAACACTGGGTAGATCAGATCCAGTCCACAGACTGAATGGCAACTGTTTTGGTTCAGATCCTTCTGCGGCCCTTGCAGCTCTGAGAGCACAGCTCAACCCACGTCCTCACTGCCTGATACTTGGGAATTAATGTCACCTGGGCTTCGCACCAACCCGGAAGTTTGGCCAAGTCTGAGAAGAGCCTCCCTCCCCTCACATGGGCACAATCTCTGCCCAGAATCCTGGGTCAAAGCCCACCTTTTCCACCCGGCACCCGAAGGCACCCCCCACACCATGCTCCCCAAATTGCCGATCTAACTCCCCATGGCAGCCTTCAGTTCATAGTTCATGGGCCACCGGCCAGGAAGGCGTCTTACTCTGCCCACCTAAATGTCACCGCAGTCCGGGGCCACTCAGGAGCCCTCCCCAGCGGTTGGCACCTGAACCCAACGCCGTGTATGTGCCTGGCAGTAGGCAAGGCAGGCAAGCGTCTGGTAAATACCAAGCAGGTGTGAGAGGGGAGGAGTGCGAAGAAGGGAGAGGCAGGAAGGGACATGGAATTTTTAAAACCCAGCCTACTGCCTTCAGTCTCTAGTCATTCCCCGCATGTGTCCTACACTCCTGCCGCCTCAAGCTCCTGTCCCCGTTACCTGTGCCCCCCTACCTCCGTGCGAACACCTGTGACTCGGGGGCTCTTCTAAACCGGCCTCCTGTGGAACACCCTCCCTGTTCTCCCAGGATCGCCACTGCACTGTCTCGAGGGACACAGTTCTCATTGCCACGGAAGGCAGCCTACTTAACTTCTGAATGTTTCTCATTTGTGAAGTGCAGGTCCCGCTACCTCTGCCCATTAGGTAGCTTTGAGGGTTCTACCTGCATGTGAAGGACTAACACATGGCAAGCATGAAAGAAGTTTCTTCTCATGATATAATTGTGGTGCTCCTTGTCTGAAATCCTGTTTACACTGTATAGTCCTAGGGGACATGTCCCTACAGCACAGCTTAGCACCCCAGTTTTCCAAACTAAGCTCCTCCGATCTCCTGCTTCCCACGGGGAGTTGTAGAGGCTTCAGGGCCCGACTGTGGGGCTCTAGAACCTGTTTCAACCCTAGAAGTTTCTTGCTTTTGCTGTTTTGCATATTGGGGTTCCAGTAAGATCTCCCGTAACAATAGGGCCCTGCTGCTAAAACCAATTTTTGCATGTGCCTGGTTCTGAAGCTAGTTGGGCCCTCAGTGAATCTTGTAGGTGGGGGTGGGGGGAAGACACAGGTGTGACAAATAAACCACCTGAGAGGCGTGGAGCAGGGCTCAAAGCCCTGCATTCACCGCTTTATAGTCAGGATGCATTTGGATGCCGCAGGGAGAGAGGCAAAGGCCTGATTTCAGGAAGGAAGGAGCTTTCTGGTTTGCTGGAGCCACTTCCCTCGACTTCCCTCGTCGGACTCAAAGTTCCAGAGGTGAGCCCTCCAGGCAGTCAAGGGCAGGCAGGAGATGGGACAGCGAGGGGAGGAGGCATTCTTGGGGTACAGAACCCTTGACTGCAGGGTCCAAAGGCTCTGGGCCAACCACCAGGAAGCTGTGCATCCCTACAGCCAGGGCCCCCTTGTAATCACAGTGGTAACTGTCCCCAATGTGGGCTGCTCCTGCCGGGTCCACTCGAGCAAGCCGCAAGGCCTCGTGGAAAATTCGGGGGTCAGGCTTGGGCCAGCCGGCAGCCTCAGAGGTCAGCACAAAGTCAAAGTGTTCCCGCAGGCCCAGCCCCCTCAGGATGTCCTCCAGCCGGTGGTCAAAGTTGGAGACCACTGCCAGCCTCAGACCTCGTTCTCGGCACCCTCTCAGGGTGGCCTCGGCCCCCTCCAACACCTGCCAGGTGCACGGCTTACAGAAGTCCTCGTACAGCCGCTCAGCGATGGGGGCCACAGTCTGGGCATCTCGAACACCCGCGAGGTGGAAGGTGTGCAAGACCACATCCAGCCACCACCGGCGGGAGGTGAGGCCTTGGCTCAGGCCGTAGTTGGGGAAGCTGTGGCTCTGAGTCCTGTAGGCCTGCCTGAAGGCGTGTCCCAGTGTGGCGGCCTCCACCTCCAGCCCGTGGGCCCGGGCCTTGGTGGCATATTCCTCTCCCACAGGATGGCGGAGCCTGAGCAGTGTGTCCTTCACGTCCCACGTCAGCAGTCGTATCTGCAGCCGATGCGCCATGGGCCTGTCGGAGCGGGGCAAGTGCACCCCAAGTCCACCAGGGGTTAAAGAGAAACTGAGCTGGACAAGACCCACCCCACCCCGCCTCCACCACCTAAAGGTCTTCTCTCTCCAGGCCTTGTGGGCCAGAGTTGTGGCACGTCCTCACAGCCGAAGATCCTGGAATGAGACGGCAGTGGGGTAGAAGTTCAGACCTTGGGGTCAGAGACTGACTGGGTTCAAATTCAGACACTTCCCACTTACTGTGTGACCCTAGGAGTGTCACTCTCTGAATCTCTGTCTCCTGACTGAAGAGGAGCACGATGTGCCAACCTCACGAGACTGTTGCATGAAATGAGATCATCTGTTCATTCCACAAATTTCTGGGCACCAACTATGTGCTAGATGCTAGGGAACAGATTTCCAGCCTCCTGGCATTTACAGGCATTAAAGAATACGAGACACAGATATTAGACAAAGAACTATACAAACACTGAAGAATAACAAAGTCAGCATGTGCCATGAGGATATAAACCCAGGGATCCCATCTGTGTTGAACTTCCTAAGTAAGTCATGTTTCGGGGGAGATCTGAAGAATGACTATGCAGGAAATGGAGGTGGTTAAGTGTTCCTGGCACTGGAAACACCAAGTGCAAAGGCCCCGAGGTAGGTCAACGGCAAGTCTGCTGCTTTGGGTAGACAGGGCCCACCGTGGCGGGGCCTTGTAGGTCAAGGTAAGGAAACAATTATGATTGCTATTACTATTGTTAACAACACCAAAGACACAGGGTCCTTGCAGACCATGTGACAGACCCCTTGTTTATCAGGGAAGACTGAGCCAGAGAGGGGCAGATACTAGCCTAAGGTGCACAGCCAGCACCAGAACCCAAACTTCCGGCCTCTGGCCAGTGCTCCCTTCTACTGCATCATGCTTAGACAAATTTGGATTTTAAAACAATCTGATTTGGGTGAATCAGCACAGCACTGGGCCAAAGGCAGACAGAGAGCCAGGTCCTGTCTCTAAGCCTCCGATTCGTCTTTACTGGCGGTGACAAGGTCTGCCTAGGTGGAGAGCCAATAAAAGGATTACTGACTCAGTGCACAAGAAACAAGTCCTCAGCCTGCTGTCCGGAGGCTGGGTGCAGCTTCTTGCCCCACACAGTTGATTGCAGACAATCTCAGGCGGTCTAGTGGAAACCTGAGGGTCCAGAGTTTCAGAGTACAGCCAAGTTGCTGCTGAGGAAGGGCAGTGGCTGGTGAAGCTGGGGGCAAGCCGTAGGGGAAGTCTGACAAGGAAATGAATTTAAGTGAATGTGGAAATTAGGGAGAGCCATCCAAAAACCCTCTCACTTTACCGGTGGGTAGATGGAGGCCCAGTGAAGGGCGGGAACTCGCCCAAAGCCACGCAGGGAGTCACGGGCCCAGCTAAGACTAGAGCAAAGAGCTCTGGCTCCCGACCCACAACGTCTTCCATTTCTGGAAGCCGGGGCTGAGGCCTCTGGGCTGCAAACCTGAATTTCTCGGCCTTCCTCCTCACCTCCAGGGCTCGATGGGGACAAAGTCCAGGTAGCCCGCTGTTAGAGCGAAATCTCTACGGCTGCCATTTGCAGCGTGACCTTGGGCGTGACGTGGCTGCGGCCGGCCTCCTGGGGGCCCCTTCCCAGCTCCGGCGCGCTCCGACCGCTCGGCGCGGACCCCCGGTCCCCAGCCTCTCGGGATCCGGACCCGCAGGGAAGCCAGTCCTGAGGAAGCCGGAGCAGAGAGCGGGGTCCAGAGAGCTGCGCAGGCGCTCCGCGGCCCCGACGGAGCCAGGGACCCGCCCCCTCACCGCCCCGCCCCTCCTGGCCCCGCCCCTGGCCCTCCGCCCGCCCCTCTCCTCCGCCCGCGGTTCCCCCGGCCTCTCCCCTGCCACAGTCCTCTCCGCTCCCTCCCGTCGCACCCTTGCCTGCCTCCCCGCCCCCAGCGCCCTCGGTCACCAGCCTGCCCGGTCCTTTCCGTCTCCCTCTCGTTGCCCGTCCCGCCCCCTCCGCCCCGCCCCCCGCATCTCTGGGTCACCTTGCACACTCTCCTCCCTTTCTGCCTGCCCCGCCCTCGACGCCTCTCCCTTATTCCCCTTTCTGCGCTTTCTCCCTCCTCCACTCCTCGCAGACCCCTCCGTCTTCCCCGGATCCAGACGTTCCCGGGAGGTCCCCAAGCTGACTTGGGAAGAGGGGGATCTGGGTCCCGGCCTGGCTTGCTGAGTGCTGTGTGGACTTGGGCCAGGCGCTGCCCCTCTCTGGTTTGAGTCTCCAGTCGGTACTAGGAAGGAATTGCTTTCATTTGGAAATTTGTCTAACCCAAGACATTCTGCTGAGAGTAGAGTCCTCTGCAGTAACCTAGCTGGTTTTTTTTTCTTTTGATATAATCATCTACAAAAATGTTTTAAAATACAAAGTATACAAAGTAAAAAGCAAAAGCCCAATCTCACTCCTCATTGAGCGTAGGTCTGCTCTGTGCCAGACGGTGCAAAGACAGGATTCCTGCCTTCACGGAACCAGAGTGGGGCAGACACAGACCAAGTAAATACACAAGCTTTCAGGTAGTGATGAGCAATAAAATCAGAATGGCGGCATGAACAGTGCAGGGCCTCTCTGGATGAAGTTAGGGGAGGGGCAAAGATCTGAACAGCCAGGTGAAGATTAAGGGACGGGTACTGAAGGTGAGCCACCGGCAAAAGCAAAGGTGCTGGGGCCCCAGCCTGCTTATTGAGCAAGGGCAGTGGCCCGTGGAGGTGGGGAGACAAGGAGGACTTCCGGCCCCCCACGCACTCCCCAGGGGTTGCTGCAGTGGTGCTTTGGGTCATTATGCTATTTTCCTAGGAGCACACAAACATGCATATATTTTCTTTCTTCCTTCTTCCCCTCCCCCCTCCCTTTTTAAACAAATCTTCCTCCTATATTCTAAGACTGGCCTGTTCATTTCATTCAGAACCACCTAATCCTCATTGGGCCCAGGCCTGGGAGAAAATACAAAGTGCAGAGTCACAGACCTAGGCCAGCAAGGGAGAGCTTGATTCCAAAATTCATTACAAGCAGGATTCCTACAAGTGGGAGTGGAAAGGGTGAGTGGGAGGTCAGAGGTCCAGCTGTGATTCACAGAAGCCCAGAAGGTTTGAGATGGTTCAGGTTCCAGGGTCACCTAAAACCCAGCTCCTTAGGTTCTGGTCCCAGCTCTGCCACCTGGCTCTCTGTGAACCCTTCATTGAATTCTTTTCCTCTCTGGGCCTCAGTCTCCAATCTGCAAAATGGGGGGATTGAACAAAATAACTTCCAGCTGAAGTCCAGGCCAGCTTCTAATTTCCAAGGTAATTAACTTTGTCGGGGAAACCTGAGTTCCTCCATGTACAAATAGAGCATGCTTACATCAAGATTAAGTGAGAGCACATGAAAAAGCTCTTTGAGAAGTAGATGATTCTTTTTATTTTTTTTTTTTAAGATTTTATTTATTTACTTGAGAAAGAGAGCATACAGAGGGAGAGGGAGAAGCAGACCCCTGCGGAGCAGGGAGCCAACCGCGGGGCTGGATCCCAGGACCACGGGATCAGGACCCTGAGCCCAAGGCAGATGCTTAACCGGCTGAGCCACCCAGGTGCCCCAAATGATTCTTTAAAAAAAAATTTTAGGGGCACCTGGCTGGCTCAGTCGGTAGAGCATGGGACTCTTGATCTCGGGGTCACGACTTTGAGCCCCACATTGGGCATAGAGATTACTTAAAAAATAGTAATAATAAATGTTTCATTTGACATTAGTTTCAGGTGTACAACATAGTGATTCAACCTCTACATACACTCTGCTCACAAGCATAGCTACCGTCTGCCCCCACACAACAGTGTTACCAGAGCACTGACTATATTCCCTGTGCTGTCACTTTTATCCCTGTGACTTGCTCCACACCTGGAAGCCTGCTGCTCCCGCTCCCCTGCGCCCGTGTTGCCCATCCGTCCACCCCCTGGAAGATGATTCTTTTCACATAGTTGAGTGTCCTGAGAGGTTAAGGGCTTTGTTTGGTCACATGACTGTTTCAACCCCAGGCACCTGTTGCACACAGCGGGCAAGTCCATTATAATCTATGTGAGTGTGCCCTCTGGAGTTGTGGCCCTGATTTGACGGTTTGCCCTTTAGGTTCTCTTTCTCTGCATAACTTTTCAGCAGAGATTAAAAAAAAAAAAAGCCTCGGGCGCCTGGGTGGCTCAGTTGGTTAAGCGACTGCCTTCGGCTCAGGTCATGATGCTGGAGTCCCGGGATCGAGTCCCGCATCGGGCTCCCTGCTCAGCAGGGAGTCTGCTTCTCCCTCTGACCCTCCCCCCTCTCATGTGCTCTTTCTCTCTCTCACTCTCTCTCTCAAATAAATAAATAAAATCTTTAAAAAAAAAAAAAGCCTTGTGTGTCACAGGAAAGCCAGTGACAGGTCCCCACTATTCGGAAAACAAACTTCTTTTTGAAATTGCCAGTTCAAAAATGGGTACACTTGGGGCGCCTGGCTGGCTGAGTTGGTAGAGCGTGCGACTCTGGATCTCAGGGTCGTGAGTTCAAGCCGCACATGGGGGTAGAGCTTGCTTAAAAAAAATGGCTACACACAATGGGTATAGTCCCCTCCCTAAGTCAGATGACAGAAACCCGTCTTGGAGGTTTTCATCCCGCGGTCTATCCTGTGCGTACTCTGACCTCAGGACTGCTCCTGAGACACCTGGCATGTCATTAAACTGAACACTGCCTCTGGTCCATTTCTCTTTGAGGAAGCCAAGTTCTTTTTTTTTTTTTTTTTTAAAGATTTTTATTTATTTATTGAGAGAGAGAGAGAGAATGGTAGAGAGCATGAGAGGGAAGAAGGTCAGAGGGAGAAGCAGACTCCCCGCCGAGCAGGGAGCCCGATGTGGGACTCGATCCCGGGACTCCAGGATCATGGCCTGAGCCGAAGGCAGTCGCTTAACCGACTGAGCCACCCAGGCGCCCCCAAGTTTTTTATATGAGGCCTTCGCCCTTGAGAATCTCATGCTCCCATACACATAAGTAAACCCAGGCTGGGGCCGTCAGACACATGTCTATTTACTTTAAAATTTTCATTTACTTAA